AACCTACGAATCAGCTTCTCTTCTGTGTCAAACTCATGAGACACATACTTCCTCAGCTGGTTAGACTGAGTCTCATACTGCCTCACTGTAAGCGTCCCCTGACTAATGTACAAGAACGCCTTCTCCAACTCGTTGTAAGCTTCTTGTGGGAAGTACTCCTGAACATCGCTGAAAACGTCTCATATGAACAATTCGCATTCACCAGCCTTCCAACGATTCCTTTCCACCACATGTGTACATCACCCTCTAAGTAGTGCACTGCTATGTCTCTCTTGTAACCCTCTGGACATCGGATAGACTCAAAATTCTGTTCCAGTCTCATCCTCCACTCATCTGCCTCAATTGGTGTAGAACCTCCAGCAAAGAACTTGATTCCTAACCGCACCATGTGATCCAAAACCTTGAGGTAACTCGCAACCCTCTCCACTTGGTCTGCTTCCTCCCCAATCACATCGGCATGAACCCCCACCGGTGGTACTACATGTGCTGCTGCAACCGCCGGAGCAGGAGCCACCGCATGTACCCTAGCTAGTACCTGTGCTAACATCCCAAGCAGAGCCTCTAACCCCACTGGTGCTACATTCGCAGCATTCATTGCCACGTTCTCAGCATCCGCAGCATTCCTTGCTGCTTTCTCGGCTGCCACTCTAGCCGCCTCATTTGCAACCGCAGCTGCCTGTCTCTTGGCCTCCCTTGCCCTCTCAGCAACATCACCGTTGACTGAGTTAACAGACCCAGCCGCCCGGTTGTCCCCATTGTTTCTCACGGTTCTTCTGGTATCAACCATCTGCAAGTACGATTAATGCCAGTTAGCCGAAGCTAACTCAAAACGTGTTTCACAACACCAAACAACAACTTACCGCGAGACCTTGACAGTGAAGAATGGATCGGACCCCTATAAACCCCAAACAAGCAAACAATAGCAGTCACCAATTTCAGTCCTAGAAGCGTTAAAACGCTCTGATACCAACTTGTGGTAACCAACCCGGTAAACCGTACCACGGCTGTGTCCCACTACATCCTAACAGTCTGTTTCTATACTTAGCCATATTTTTAAACTTTTTCTTTATTCTTATTCTTTCTTATCAACACACAGCGGAATGTAAAACAACTCATCTTATTCATTTAACTTTCATAAAACACTTAAACAGGATTCGGGGTTATCAAATACCAAAACACAAGGTTCGCTAACGATTACAACTGATCATCTAGCAACCTAAATAGTCAAACACCAAAGCCATAAGACAAAGCACAACGTCTTAAACATAATTAAAACCCAGTCCCGATCCATCCATATCCATCACTGCCGCCTGGTCTCGCCTCTTTACTGCTTAGTACCTGCACACTCAAGAAGAGAGGCATAAGTATTTCATAAATACTTAGTGAGTACGGTCATCCCGTAACACCTGGTCAGTACCAAACACGCAATCATACTTTCGGATCCAATATTCAACACAATCAATTCGCAATAGACATAACAATATCAAACGGCCATGATCATCTATCTTAACCAACCAAGTTCAATCCCTTTTTAAGACCCATGTCTACTTGAGCGAGAATCCCACATCCCCTAAGCTAGTACATAATCTGGATTACCCTGAGGTTAGCTAGACATCATCTATGCCACGGTAAACACCTTAATATATCATAACATGAAATCGCTTATAAGTTCTAAACACATAACATGAAAATCACACAATCAACATGCAAACATTCAACCCTAGCAATCCTACAGTTCTAGACACCAACCACAGTCACGCACTCACCTTAAACAAGGCTGGAAACAGATTGGTCAGAAGAAATCCCGATGAAACTCACACCAAAACGAAGATATCCGATCACCCTAGGAATCTCTCGGCTGTCCGTACGATCCGATCCCTTTCCCTTCGGCTATCTCTCGATCCGTTCACCTTTCTCCGAGCCAAACTCTGTTTACCCTCAAAAATCCCACTAAACAAGGCTATTAGCTCGAGGCTATCCGATGAAAACTCAACACTTAGGGAAATATCCGATCGCTTACCAGTTTATCTCGGCGATGGTCGGATCTGCTCGGCGATAACCTGATCTCTCTCGGATGTCCTCGGGATAAACTGTTTTTCTTAGGGTTTTCTCTTGACTAAACTCTCTCTTTGCTTTATTTAGCTCAAATAAACGCAACACCCTCGAGTTAAGTCTCAAAATCCCTTATATGCTCGTAAAACCCTAGGTAACTCGGGCTTATCCGACGTTTTCCTGGTTCCAGTAGGTTTTATCCCGGTCCGATTCGATTTTCTCGGCTATTTCCTGTACCTGCTCGACCATCCACTCGATAAACCACAAAATAGCCGACCTAACACTTGGCCCACGGCCCAAATCCTTTCCCACTCGGATAAACCACCCTTATCCGAGGTGTTTTCCATTTTTCACCCGGATATTCCTTTTTCTCTCGGACAACTTGTCTTGCCTCGGCTAATCCTCTATTTCTCTCGGAGGTTTTCCTTTTTCCATCGGAGACAGTCCACTGACACTCGGACTAACCTCCCAGACTCTCGGATAAATCCCACTGCACCGGGATAAATCCCATTTCCCACGGACTGGACCCTCTTTCCCTCGGATACGGTCCATCTAACTCGGCTATCCAGCCCACCATCCGACTATTTCCCCGGTCAACACCTGACCATAGTCTGAACCTCCATTTACCAGCCAATACCCGACTCTTGGCTCGATCATTCCTCGGACAATGCCCTGTCCGGTCCGATCATCCTGAATTCTCTCGGATACAGATGCTACATGTCGCCTCCTCATTCGATGTACATGGAGTAGTGTCGGAGGAATTCCAATGAGAGTTGGGCGAACATCTTGATGGAGTTGGGTTTGAGCTTTGAGAACCACTGGAGGGCATTTCCGGCAAGGGATTCTACGAAGTATTGGCAGAGGGAGGCGTTATATTCCTCCGGCTAGAACCGGGCTCGGTTCATTGCATTATTGAAGGCTATGAGGTTTTTCTGCGGGTCCGTGTTGCCGACGAACGACACTGGAAGTTTTAGCCTCACAGTGTCGCGGAGGGGTACACGGGTGATGCAGTCTGCGAATGGTGTTTGCTGAGTGAGCTTCAGGACCTTCTCAAGCTCGAGGGCTGAGCTAGTCGCATTGTGAACTTGGGACTTGATTTCGTTGATCCTCTGGTGGAGACAGGTGAGCTCAGCATGCCCGGGAGTCTATGCAGAGGTGGAGTCCGGGGCGGACAGGCGGGACTTGCGCTTAGATCGGGTGCTGGAGTCCTTGGCGTGTTGATCTTCGCTGCCCCGTGCTGAGGTAGATGTTTCACCAAAGATTAGGCACTTGGCTCCTGATGCAGTGGTGCCCGGGGGTATGCAGATGCCTTTGGGAGTGCCGGTCTCGATATCGTCCGCGTCCCGTAATGACTCTGTCGGGGCTCGCGTAGTGTCTCGAGGTATGCGACTTGCTAAACTTTGATAGCCCCGATCTGTTCGTTTAGCTTGTTGTCCATTTGTGCCATGATGGACTGCAGGATGGCAGTGATATCTGTTGGTGTGGGTGGAGGTGGAGGGGGCGGGAGTATGCCCGTCGTGTTGAGAGAGCTCTGGGCTGCTGGGAGACCAGTTTCATCAGGTTCCCATGCTGCTGCGCGTTAGAACTGCCACCAGGCTCTAGGGTGCTAGAGCCTAGTCCGGTTAGCTGTATGTTGGAGTTGTTCCCGACCTGGTTAAGGGCGAGTGGTTGAATGATGGTATTGTCGGTGGCACTATCGGTGGACTGCTTTTCTGTGGTCATCTTTGAGTTCCGGCGTGAGTAGACGAACTTGTATCTTTTGTTCCCCACAGACGGCGCCAACTGTAAGATCTAGATATCACGAATATAAAGATTTGTGGGAAAAAAAGATATAGTTTTATTTAGTTAGCCGGAGCTCGAAGAGTACAAGGGATTTAGATCGTCGGAAAAGAGACCTATATTTAGTGAGTAAAGAACCGAGATCTAAAGTTGAAAGCAAAAAACTATTGTTTGCCCTAGGTCTCGAGTCCGAAGTTGTGAATGAATGATCTTTGAGGGAGGGAGCTCTTCTTATATAGTCGTCATAAACTGACTTGAGTCGAACCTTTCTCTTTCGAGATAAGGATAATTTTATTTCTTCTCGGGATTTTGCTTCTTTTTCCTTCGCAATATGAATATATCTTCGAATATTTCTATATTTCAGCACCGACCTAATTCTAGAGGCGAAGATAAGATTTCAAATGAACATTTTCTCAATTTATGAAGTGTTTTTAGTGAGGGATGGTAAACTGTCACTAACACCACCTATATATACGTGCGTCTCGCAAAAATTATTGCTACTTTCAGTAATGGTTGAAAGTTTGAAATACTTCGATTGTTGGACAGTTAATTTTTATATCATATAATGAATGTTATGTTAGATAAATAGTCACACTATATCATAAACATTATTAGAGTTCAACCGAGGCTTTGAAAAGAATAATTATGAAATGCCAATTAAAACTTTTGGTTTAGTGACAGACCAAAACATGTGTATACGGTATACCAATCTCAATCTCAACTTCTGTGTGTTTCTCGTAGAGATGATGTTAAATTGATGTTTTAAAGCTACCGAATCTTTTCTTTTTGTGGAGTAACCATTCAATGCAACTTATTAATTTTTATGTTTAAATCTCTTTAAAACCAGTATTGGTTTAATTGGTTTAGTAATTATATAAACCGAAGAAATCAAGTTTAAATGGTTTGGTAAGGCAGTCGAAGAAAGTCGGCGTTAATTTAAACGCGGGGGATTGACTTAAACCTAGCTAAAATTGGTTTAATTAAACCGATTTATCGGTTTACAACGTCGAAGTTAAGTTTTCCATTTTTTTTGTAGAGCGCACACACTGTCTATATATATACTGACTACTGAGAGAGGCCACATCACTTGTCTGCGCTATTTGCAAAACGAAAATTGTTCTCACAACAGAAAAAAAATCCTCTTTCCTAATTTGATTTGTCAAATTTAGAAGAAAAAAAAACCCTAGAATGGTGAAACACGGCGGCACTAAAAGAAAGATTCCGATGGAGAAGATCGGGAAGAAAGGATCGTTAGCGACAGCTTTCACCAAACGGAAGTACGGACTTTACAGCAAAGCATCGCAACTATGTATTGAGATAAACATAAACATAGATTTGTTGTAATCTGTTAATATATATTCTAGCTTATCTCTATCTAGTTTAGGAATACATACTTGTATAAATACATTATTTTGTGAATGAATACAACAACACTTTCCAATTCCTTACATGATATCAGAGAAAAACGATCTTTGACCTAGATTTTTTTTCTCAAACCTCGATTGCTTCTGCTTTCTATTTTTTTTCTCTACTCTTCTCTTCTCGTTGACACCATACGATGTCATACGTTTCTACTTCTACTACTTCTACTTCGGGTGAAAACTCTGCACCGAATTCTCCATACACCTTGCATCCTTCGGATAATCCAGGTGCCTTGATCACCCCTGTTGTTCTTCGTGGAGACAACTATCCTGAATGGTCTACTGAGCTGTGGAATTCTCTACAAGCTAAACAGAAGATCGGATTTATTAATGGGTCGATTCCAAAACCGGAGTCGAATCCAGACCTTGCCCGATGGATTTCTACAAATTCTATGATCGTTGGTTGGATCCGTACATCCATCGATCCTCAAGTTTGATCTACCGTTACTCACATCCCAGATGCTCATAAACTTTGGGAATCTCTAAAGCTAAGATTCTCGGTCAAGAATGGCGTACGTAAACACATGCTTGAAGACGAAATCAACAATTGTAAACAAAACGGTCAATCCGTTTTGGAGTTCTACAGTCGCCTAACCAAGTTATGGGAAGAGTTACAAAATTTTAAACCGCTTCTCTCTTGTACGTGCGCGGCTTCAGCAGGGCTAGAGAAAGAACGGGAGGATTCACGTGTTCACAAGTTCTTATTTGGTCTTGACGAAGCTCGTTTCAGCACAATTCGCTCTCAGATCATTGATGAGGAGCCATTACCTGATTTAAATACAGTCTATTCTCGAGTCATACGTGCCGAACAACACCTTCTCACCATGCGTGCCAAGGAAGTCAGGCTTGAAGCTGTTGGTTTCTCCGCTAAGACAGATTCTTCATCGGCTGCTGCTGCTTCGGTTCCTAGAAATCGTGATCCAAATCGTTTCTGTAGTCATTGCAACCGCAAGGGTCATGAGGTCTCAGAATGCTTCTTGTTGCATGGGTATCCAGACTGGTATAACGAACAGCAACAACAACGCTCTACTTCTGGACAGAATCAACGAGGTCGGGGTGGTCGTAATAACTATGCTGGTGGACGCGGCCGTGGACGTGCAAACACATCTCGTAGCACCTATAACACATCTTCCGACAGCAATGCGTCGTCACTTCCTGCTGATCAGATCGCGGCTCTCATCGGTCTTCTCCAAAATCAACAAACTCAGCTAACTACTGATCGTGTGTCCGGTAACACTGCACTCAATGATGTGATTATTGATACTGGTGCTTCGCACCATATGACAGGAGATTTGACTATACTCTCTGATGTCGTTGATATTGTTCCTTCGGCTGTCACGTTTCCTAATGGACGTGATTCACGGGCGACTAAGATGGGGAAACTCAAACTTAGCCCCGCTTATACTCTATTTGACGTGTTATATGTTCCAGATTTTCAATGCACTCTGATATCCGTTTCCAAACTACTTAAGCAAACTGGTTGCATTGCTATCTTCACTGATACGTTATGTGTTTTGCAGGACCGTTTTACGAGGACCCTGATTGGAGCCGGTGAAGAGAGAGAGGGGGTTTACTATTTCACGGGTGTCACAGTTGCGAAAGTTCGCCAGACAAGCAAGGCGAAGACTTCTCCTTCTGTTTTATGGCATCGAAGACTTGGACACCCTTCTTACAAAGCTTTGTCTTCTTTACCAGTTTTTGACAGTTTTAAGGTTGATTTTGACCGAACAAACTCTTGTGAAATTTGTTTTCGTGCCAAACAAACACGCAGCATCTTTTATAAGAGCATTAATAAAGCTATTGAACCTTTTGCTTTGATTCACTGTGATGTCTGGGGCCCTTACCGTACTCCATCCTCTTCTTGTGCTGTCTATTTTCTAACAATTGTTGATGACTATTCACGAGCTCTTTGGACGTTTCTTATGCTTGAAAAATCAGAGGTCTCAATGTTACTTAAGAACTTTTGTGCAATGAGTGCAAAACAGTTCGGAAAACACGTAAAGGCTATAAGAAGTGATAATGGTAGCGAATTCATGGTGCTCTCCTCCTACTTTCGTGAACATGGCATTCTACATCAAACCTCTTGCGTGGACACGCCTCAACAGAATGGTCGCGTCGAGCGTAAACACTGCCATATTCTCAACGTTGCTCGAGCATGTCTCTTTCAAGCTCGCCTTCCTGTTGGTTTTGGGGTGAGAGTATCCTTACTGCTACACATATCATTAACCATACTCCCACTTCTGTCCTTCACGGCAAGTCTCCCTATGAAGTTCTACATGGCACTCCTCCTACCTATGACACTTTACGGGTGTTTGGCTGTCTTTGTTATGCTCACCGCCGTTCTCGGGATAAAGATAAATTTGGAGATCGCAGCCGTAAGTGTCTGTTTGTTGGGTATCCTTATGGGAAGAAGGCTTGGAATCTATATGACATTGAGAGAAACGAGTTCTTTGCTAGTCGTGATGTCGTCTTCTTTGAAGATGAGTTCCCGGGTCTTCCAAGTACCGATCATGTGACACAGCCAAATTTTCAACAAGACGTTGCAGCTGATTATTGGTTACTTCCTTCCTCTTCCGCTTACGAACAACCGAATCCCGACAATACTCTTGCTCCTGCAGAGAGTCCTACTACTACTACGGAGAGTCCTACTACTAATCCTGTGGAGAGTCCTCCTCATACTCCTACGGCGAGCCCTACTGCTACCCCTATCAAAAGCCCTACTAATACTACTGCTAGTTTGCCTTCTCCTACTGGTTCTCCTCAATCAGAAGCTGCTACTCCTGATGCTTCTCCTCAGCCTCAGACTCCGACTACTCCTTCTATAACACCAGGACACTCACTAGAGGATTACGTTGATTCCTCACCAGGGTTACCTGAATTACTTGGCAAAGGCTTACGTGAATGTCAACCCTCTGTCCTTTTGCGAGATTTTGTCGTTGGTACTTCGCAGATAGTGCACACCTCCTCTCTTCCTTCACTACCCTCTAATCTTGCGTCTTCTAATCCGGTCTCAGGTAAAACACCATATCCTATCTCTACATATCTTTCTGATGCTACTTTCTCCTCTGGTCACAAAGCCTTCTTAGCAGCTTTAACATCCAACGTTGAACCACGAAGTTATAAAGAAGCAAGTCTTTCTGACGTTTGGAATGGTTCAATGAAAGACGAAGTTACAGCTCTCGAGCTTAACAAGACTTATTTGATAACGACTCTCCCTCCGGGAAAGACAGCCATTGGTAGTAAATGGGTGTACCGAATTAAGTATCATTCCAATGGCCAGATCGCTCGTTACAAGTCTCGTCTGGTAGCTTTGGGAAATCGCCAACGAGAAGGGTTAGACTATACATATACATTTGCACCAGTTGCCAAACAATCTACTGTGCGACTTCTTCTTGAAATCGTTGCTGCCAAGAAATGGAAAGTACATCAAATGGATGTCCACAATGTCTTTCTACATGGTGATCTTCATGAAGAGGTGTACATGAAGTTACCGCCCGGATTTGAAGGATCGGACCCAACGAAAGTTTGCCTTCTAAAAAAATCTATTTACGGTCTCAAACAGGCTCCTCGGTGTTGGTTTGCTAAGCTAAGCACGGCATTAAAATCATACGGTTTCACTCAGAGTAAAGCAGACTACTCTCATTTCTCCTACATACGAGATAAGATTTGCCTACACATTCTCATCTATGTAGACGATTTCATAATTGCTGGGAATGATCTTTCTACAATGCAAAAGTTCAAGAATTACTTAAGCCAATGTTTTCATATGAAGGATTTGGGGAAGCTTAAGTATTTTCTTGGCATTGAAGTAGCTTGTAACAATGATGGCATTTTTCTTTCCCAACGGAAGTATGCTCTTGATATAGTTGCAGAGGCTGGGCTACTTGGCGCAAAACCAGTATCCGTTCCTACCGAGCTTAATCACAAGCTTTCGCTAGCTACGGGCCAACCTTTGGATAATCCAGAAGAATATCGACGACTTGTTGGGAGACTCATTTATCTCACATTTACCAGACCGGAGCTTTGTTATAGTGTTCATATTCTATCTCAGTTTATGAAGGCTCCGCTTTCTGCTCATTGGGAGGCTGCTTTGCGTGTGGTTCGGTATCTCAAAGGATCTGCAGGTCAAGGTATACTTCTTCGTTCTGACTCTGATCTTCGCATCACAGCATATTGTGACTCGGATTGGGGCGCTTATCCGTTGACTAGACGCTCTTTAAGTGCTTACATTGTTCTTCTTGGTAACTCGCCCATTTCCTGGAAGACAAAGAAGCAAGACACAGTTTCTATGTCTTCAGCCGAGGCGGAATACAGGTCTATGTCTTATGCTTTACGTGAGCTGAAATGGATAAAGCAATTGCTCCTTTCTTTTGGCGTTACTCATGACGTGCCAATGAAGCTGTTCTGTGATAGTCAATCTGCTCTCTACATTGCTGCTAATCCTGTTTTCCACGAACGCACTAAACATATCGAATCCGACTGTCATGCTGTCCGTGATGCTGTTCAAGATAAACTCATTACTACAGAGCACATCTCCACGAAAGAGCAACCTGCTGATCTTCTTACAAAATCATTACTCTCTCCAACATTTGCTTATCTTCTGTCCAAGTTGGGGATTCAAGATATCTCTCCTCCGCCAACTTGAGGGAGGGTATTGAGATAAACATAAACATAGATTTGTTGTAATCTGTTAATATATATTCTAGCTTATCTCTATCTAGTTTAGGACTACATACTTGTATAAATACATTACTTTGTGAATGAATACAACAACACTTTCCAATTCCTTACACTATGTCTTCTCTCCGGCGGACAGATAGCGGTTTTAGCGACACCTCCTTCTTCACACTCCAACGTCTATTTCTACTCGTTTGGACACTCTTCCGTCGATGCCGTCGTCTCAGCTTTTCTCTCGGGAAACCGTCCCGCTCCTGTTCGTGAAGAGACTAGGGAAGAGGACATCGGAATCTGCTTGGCTCGCAAGGAATTAGGGTTAGGGTTATGGTGGGAGGAAGACGCTCTCGCGAGATCGGAGAACCTCGAAGAGTTGACGGAGTCTATAAACTCAATCTCGACTCTGTTGTCAAAATTGAAAGAGTTGCGTGAGGGAGAATCTTTCTGTGATCATAATCATCAAAGAGATCACAGCGACGAGAAGAACAAGCCCGATCAAACCCTAATTCTTCAAAGAGATCACTACGACGAGAAGAGCATGCCCGATCATACCCTAATTCTTCAAAGATATCACTACGACGAGAAGAGCATGCCCGATCAAACCCTAATTCTTAAACCCGGTTCTCCAATTTGTCGCAGCCGTGATGATTTACCTTCCGATTACAAGGAGATCGCTGAAGAACAGAGTGCGGTTTGTGACACGGAGGAGAATAACAACAAAGACATGGGTTTTGCTGGAAACTATCAGGAGATGGACATTGATCAACTTATAGATTTCGAGACTGTTTTTGATACTCCAGAATTCGATGCTTGGCTCTTGGAGGGTGATCAGATGCTTCCTGGTGATTTGTTCAACACCATTGCTGCAGTTTGAAGGAAGATAACAAGGTTTATTATCAGTTATTGGTAGTAACTTGTGATCATCGCCACGTCTCTTATGTCTATAGATTGTTTCGGTTTGTTATTTTTGTTTAGAGAAGGGTCCTGTTTGACTTTGATCAGTTTTTTTTCATATTATGGAAATTGATCGAATTCAAATGGTTTATCTTCTGTTTGGATCAATAGTAAAATACTAAAATCTGAGTTCTGTGTTACAGTATGTTCATTTGCATTTGCATTTGTTGTTCCGCATCCAAAATCATATCTTTTCTAAGAATCTACCTACGATTCGGAGAGAAAAAAGGAAACATCTTTAATCAATTGAAGCTTATTCTTATCTTGTATTAAACTTGGTAGATAGCAACATCAGAAAAATATAATCTTGGAACTAAAATGAGTGTTACAACAAAAGCAGGTGAATTTCGATTCTGTTCACAGTGTATTATAACAACATGCTCTTGGAATTAAGATCAACTCAAATAACAGACCCAGAAGTAGCCATGAGTTTTTTGTATCTAGAGCATCCACTAACTCTTCCATGGCCGAACTTTCATGAGGAAGAGCCTCGTCAAAGTAAGTTATTTCTAAAACAAAATAACTTGCTGCAAGTACAATAGAAAGAGTTAAGTTTGATCAGAATTTGAGTCATGAAGGCAGCTATCTTGCTTATCGTATCTTGTGTTTTCTTTGTTTCTTTAGCGCTATCATTATCAGAATCACAACTTGATTAGTTTGTAACTACTGATTCTGCAGAATTATATAGACTTTCTTCCATGTCGGAGAAAACATAAATCTCTTTGAGACCGAGATGAACATCCTCCTCATCATCAGAATCAGAAGTAAAGTCACATAGAGCCTAAAAGATCACCAGATTGCTAGTTTCGGTTTGCTAAATGCAGCTTTAGCGGAGCTCGAGCAGGTTAATGGTGAAAAGGACCAAGCTTTATGCAGAGTATCGATGCTCAAAACAGCTGAATCTCCTAATTGCCGAGAAGAGAATCAAAGGCAAAAACATCACCACACGGCTGAAGAAATCAGCACAAAACAGAAGCAGATTTAGTAGACACAAGAACAGATAGTTAACACCTTAAAGCTACATGTCAATTGACATAAAACAAACCTACTCATGCACCAGGAGCATCACACACAACAATGTACGTATTAGCTCCAAAGGTGAATGATGTAGAGAAGCACTAAAGCAAGCTAATAAAAGAGAATATCAGCTTCATGTTCTATATTTGATCAGTCAGAGAAAGCAGAGAGTCCATCAAGATTCTGAATTAAATCTACTGATGTACTGGGAGCATCACACACAGCAATGTACCAGGAGCATCACACACAACAATTGACCAGGAGAGCAAAGGTGACGAATAATGTAGAGAAACAGTAAAGCAAGCTGATTAAATAAAGGGTTGGCTGCCGTCAGCCTCCCAAACTATACATTGTCTACTTAAAACCCCCCAAACTTTGTTTTTCTGCCTAGTCCCCCAAATTCAATTAGAAATTAAAATCGCGATCAATTTACGAAATCGCGTTTTGGTTAGATTGCGTTTTGGGGGAAAATATGCATAAAACAAATTGTTTGGGTGGGAATATACAGAAGTGTAGTCTAGGGGGGAATATACAGAATTATTAAGCTCAGAGGGCTGAGCGCAGTCAATTTAATTTTTAGGATTTTTAAACTATTTAACACATTATTAGCTTAATTATATCCATAATATATATTTGTATAATAACACTTCTTTCTACTAGCACTTCAAATAAAATACGTGTAAAGTAAACCAATTATATATAGTAAAGTAAATTTAAAAAATAGTTTCTCTTATTAACACTTCAAATATACGTGGAACAATAAGATAATAAATATATTAATTAAATCGTATCATATCAAATAAATAAGTTGTGTAATATTGAGTAAATCTCAAAATATATTTCATGCAATCCTCCTATTAGCAGTTTAAATAAAAATACTCGAACCATGAATGGTGTAGAAGAGGTTTCAACTCTATGTCTAACCACTCACTACTCATATGTGTTAAATAAGCACAAGAGGTACATACATTTAAGTCTGAAATCTCTAATTTATCTGTGTTATGAGTTATTAATGGTCTGATTTAACAACACATTCGTTTATTTCAAGGATTTATAATGAAAATACTCGAACAATTAGAATGATAAACTTGCATTAGTTAAGATTTTTAATGTCAAGTAAATAAGTCTTATGATATCAAGTATATCCCAAAAAATAGTTTTTCTCTATTAGCATTTCAAATCGAAATATTTAAAATAATAGAATAATATGTTTATGTATGTATAATAACTAATATTAGTTTGTTTTTTAATTGTGCTGTCATATTGCTACCACTTTTAATAAAAATATACATTTATTCTATTACACAAATATATATTGTGGATATAATTAAGCTAATCATGTGTTAAATATATTGAAAAGCTTAAAAATTAAATTGACTGCGCTCAGCCCCCTGAATTCTGCGTATTTCCCCTAGACTACACTTTCGCATATTCCCACCCAAAAAATTATTTTCTGCATATTCCCCCCCCCCCCCCCCCCCAAATGCAATCTACCCAAAACGCGATTTCGTAAATTGATCGCGATTTTAATTTCTAATTGAATTTGGGAAAATAGGCAGAAAAACAATTGTTTGGGTGGAAATATGCAGAGGTCGATAATTTAGGGGGTTTAAAGTAGACAGTGTATAGATTGGGGGGCTGACGGCAGCCAACCCTTAAATAAAACATCAACTTCATTTTCTATATTTGATATGCTGACATGCGGAGGAACATATTTACTAGTTAAACCATCTGGAATTTCCTGAACCTTTAGATGTTCTTCGAACCAATCATCAACTCTATTGTGAAAGCCGATAGGTAAACCAAGGTCACTCATTTTCAACATTTTAACCAAATAGATTGCTACTTGGGTTTTTTCTTCATCATCTTGCCAACACAATTTTCCCATTCCATTCATTCCAAACAAAACTTATAAAAACAAAATTCATAAACTGAGAAAGGAGGCAATGAAAGGGTCAGCTGTGTGTAGATAATCGAATGGTAAACACAGAGAATCTATGGCTGAACCAAAGCAAAGGCAAGTGTACCTTTTGAGCTATGTAGCCTTCATTTATTTCGAAGAGGTGTTACGTACGAGTGGTTGTCACTTGTCGATTATCGAATTGCATCTGCCAGAGAGTACGAGAGGGATTCGATTGCAGAGAAGAAGATTAGCGGAGTTTTTCCTGTTTCCATAGAGATGAGAGGTGGAAGGGAGGCGAGAGGAGGAGTCCCAACCCACCATTATCGCCGTCGCCGGTCTCTGAAATCGACGGGTTTTTCATCAAAGCCCCCATAGTTTAAGAAAATGAAAATTCTGCCTATCTAAAAGCCCACTTTACAATTGGGATGCCCATAGCCCAATAAGCGTCTGTCCTCGACTTTCCCGATCATCTTCACCACTCACCACCAGTCTCGTTTAAGATCAATAATTTTAGTATCAGTTTCAAAAATTGACCTCTTGAGTCTTCTTTTCTGCATTTCGGAGGACTTCTCAAGGCTTTTCGTGCACAGAAACGATCAGTTTCGTTCCTTTCCACTGTGTAATTTTCCGGAAACTCGGGCCTTCCTTTTGTTTTGTGTACACAACCAAAGACTTTGTGATTCGTAGACTGTTGCAGTGAGCGTTCTGACATCAGACTTTGTCCGATAAATTCTTCATATAAGGATTCAGAATCTGCCATTCTTTGATTCTTATATATTTATCATTGACTTTTGTCATCAACCTCTTTGTTTCCCTCTTGGTTGTTCCTCCATCCTTTGCCATAAAATATATATACCTTAGCTGACTAAAGCTTTGATATCTTCTCTACGTTTTTTCTGTGTTGGATTTAACTAAAGCTTTGGAATTCTGACACATCCTTTGCCACATGCTCATGTAGCAATGTACAAGGGTTGTTGGTATGTGGATGCTTTAGACAATACAACTTGTTGACATTTTGAAAGCTATGGATAAGGCTATGCATGATGGTGTTGATGTTTTGTCTTTCTCTCAAGGCTCTGTAGTTCCTCTGAATGGCAAAACGGATATTCACGATGGAATAACCACCGGAGCATTCCATGATATCTTGAAAGGTATCACAGTTGTTTGTGCTGGTGGTAACTCTGGCCCAGAGGCTCAGACCGTGACAAACACCGAAACACGGCTCCTTGGATCGTGACTGTGACTGCAACTACTCTAGACCGGTCCTTTGCCACGCCTATTACACTTGGAAACAATAAAGTGATACTGGTAACAACATTATGTTATTTAAATTAGTTGTTTTTGAAACGTTTACTTTGCAAATATTCGATGATCTGCCTCTTATTGTGATTTCACCACTACATTGCAGGGTCAAGAAATGTACACATGTCCAGAACTTGGTTTAACTAGCTTGGTTTACCCAGATAATCCAGGAAAGAGCAATTAAAGCTTTTCTCACACTGTAATCATCGCAAGACACCCTGACTCTGATCTTGAACCATGTTTAGATGATTTCCCTTGTGTTGACTACGAGCTTGGGACCGATATACTTTTGTAGATACGTTCCCTCTCAATGTCTATATAAAGTTGGAAAGTTGAGAATGCATATGAGATGATTTTTTATTTCTCATTTCATCAACACCAGTGCAAAGAGGAAAGCAGAGAAGTCTAAACGCAAACATGGATGAAACAATATGACAGAGGAAGACCTTTATGAGTGGTTTCAGAAGGCGGAGAAAGCCTGTAATGTTGCCGAGAGCTCTGCTTCAGCAACTGCCACTAGTACTAGTAGCAGCAAGAAGAAGTAGAAGAGGGGAAAGAAACATATCAGTGTTGTTTTGCTTAGCATTTTTAACATGTTGGAAAGTTTTGTAACCCTAGTTGTGGATCGCACGCAACTAATTGTTTCTTCATCCCAATCTCACAACTTATTTAGGGTTTTGTTATATTTGTAGATT